ACAGAAAACAGAAAGAGAAAGAAAGAAGAGAAAGAGAAAGAGAGAGAAAGAGAAAGAGAAAGAGACAGAGACAGAGAAAGAGAGAGAGAAAGAGAGATACAGTGGATTGTGCATATTCCTAGCACCAATGAGCTATGTTTTGTGAATTATGTTTACCCATAATGCTCCACAAGAGTTAATTCACCCTAGACGACCTCACCTGCTTACTATTAATCTCAATATTGTTAATATCATCATTATTGACGTTATGACTATATCAATGTTGTTAAAAAGAAAACAGCCAAAATCTAGTCTAATCTTTCCAAAAATCAAGGAAAAGAGGTAACAGGCAAGAGTGGTAGGTCATGTAACTGACTCCTTTGTGACTAAAGTCTTGCGGAGGCATCTATGTTCAAAAGCAATAAATAAAATTTTAAAAAATGTGGATTCGGCATGTAAGTAAATGTCATCCCAGGCTCCAATGGGTTAATAAACAGATGGGTGATTGAATTAAGATGAAAAAAAAGAAAAAAGAAAGAAAGAAAGAAAGAGAGAAAAAAAAGGTAATAAAACTGGGAAAATAAAATGTGCATCAAAATGGAACATGAATAAACAAATAAATAAATAAATAAAAAACAAATAAATAAACAAATAACATTGACATCCTTAGGGAGAAGCAAGAGTAAGAAAAAGAAAAAAAAGAGAGAGAGAGAGAGAAAGAGAAAATAATGAAGAAAAGAAAAGAAGAAGAAGAAAAAAAAAAAATCCAGCTAGATTATCAAAGAACTCAAAGACATACTTAATAACATTTTACACCTGTCTCACATTTAATCTATGACATCAGTGACATATATTAATGCCAAAAAAAATCTTAATCATCACAGTATGATCATTTGCAGCCATGATGTAGCTACTCCTGTACTCAAAATCTTAAGAAATATCTACTTTCATATAACAATGCAGTACTACCGACCAGTTAGAACATTACATGTCTTGCATGAAATTATTCCTGGCAAATAAACAAGCGTAGTAAGCAGTTATACAATCCATGCACCTGAACCACAAATTAAAAAATGCAGATGCACATGCTGCGAGAGCGAGTTGAAAGCCTACTTTCTCCAAAGATGCAAATGAAATTTGCACAATTAACATTAATTTAAGATTACTACACATGTTGAGAATGCTATCAGCCCCCCTCTCGCTACCCTCCTACTATCCCCCCCCCCTCTCTGAGTCTAGTCGCCATGGTGATTGAATGTGTTTTTGCTTCCTCTCCACCGCAGCCCCGCAATTCAGCAAACCATGCCCCCCTCACAGGGTACTGGGACCTCAGCTGTAGGATATGGAACCTCTGACAGCATGGGTCAAGAGCTGCCTCCCCGGCCACAAGGATGGGCACCCCCATGGCAACCAGGGTCAAGGCTGCCCCCCGGCCCAGGGTAAGGGACCCCTTAGCAGTAACAGCAGTGATAACAGTGTAAACAGTGTACATTGATTCGAAAAAGTAATTTATCAATTTGGCAGCTAAATTGCTTATTCAATGTGCAAAAAGAAATTATTTCAAAAATAAATTCATAGAATATAAAAACAACTCAGATAAAACATGAAAAATTGTTAAAACACCTAACTAGTCATTGTACAAGTCCTATACATAGCACAGAGCATTTTAATGATTTCTTTTCAAAAATTGGAAAACAAACAACTGCTTCTACATTACAACAAAACACAGATCAGGCAAGGTTTACAATTAATTTTTTCAGACCACAACCAGTGGACGTAGAAACAATCATCTTGTAGGAGCATGCTGTAGGAGCAGACAGTATTGCTTTGCGCTTTATCAGAGACAGTCTACCCGCAACATTATTTGACAATTATTATTAACACCTCTCTGGTCACTGGTGTCTTTCCGTCACTTTGGAAACACAGTCACACCAATGTTTGAGTCGGGGGATATAGACAATGTGAATAATTATCGCTCTACTACTATACTCCCTATATTATCCAAAATTCTTTAAAAAATTGTAGCAAATCAACTGACGTTTTCTGGAGGCCAATAACTTATTATCTAAAATGCAACAAGGTTTTAGAAATAGGTTATCTACTGAAACAGCTTTACTACAAATTACTTATGAGATTTATAATAACATAGACAGAAATCAGGTAAATTTGCTCACATCATGCGATCTGTCTAAGGCTTTTGATAGTGTCAACAAAGTCGTAAATCATAAAATTGATAGCTTTTGGTTTAAAAGTTATTTAGATACAAGGACCCAATCGTTAGGAATCAATGATGGTATGTCATCAAAACAAGTACCTTTTTGTGCTTTGCAAGGATCTGTTTTAGGTCTGATCCTATTTACAATATTTATAAATGATCTATCAACAATATTTATCTAAGGAATAACCATTGTAATTAATGGAATAAAGTGTTTTGATTTTAACTTTGATTCTTGCTAAACTCCCCCTCTCACTACCCCCCTACTACCTCCCCCCCTCTTTCTCTTGCTATCTTTCCCCCTCTCTCTCATGCTATTTTACCCCTCTCTTACAATACCAGATGCATACCATAATATCAGTAGTGGTCCAGCATGAGGATGCAGAGGCTTACAGTGAGGAAACAGACAGGCAATAATAAATAATACTAAAAAAGAAAAGAAAAGAAGAGAAGAAGAGCCAGAAGAAGACGACGAAGATGAAGAAGAAGAAGAAAAATACAAACTTGAATCCTCTTACCTAGGGAAAGTAGATTCTTCCTCTGTGCATTCCTGGCATCCCAAGCACAGAGGGACGTCGTAGCTTCATCTGGAAACATTACAAAGTCCTCTGTGTGGTTGAACATGGCGTGGGCACTGTGTTCCTGGCGGCCTGTGAAGAATGGGAGGGGCATCACAGAGTGTGGTGAATATGGGGTGAGTGATGAGTCCAGACTGTGTGATGAGCAAGGAATGTGATGAACAAAGAATGTTTGATAAACAAAGGTATGATCAATAAGGAAAGAATGGCAAAAAAAAGAAAAGAAAGAAAGAAAAAAAAGTAATAAACTGGAAATACGTGATTAATAAAAGGAAGAGACTGGTAGTAATTATTGAAAGAGGCACAAATAATAAAGTATTTTCTTTTTAAATATTTGTGTATCTGAATATGAAACAAACTCAAGCCAAATCCGTCTAAAATAAAAAATTCTGAAATATTTACAAACAAACAAACAAACAAACAAAAAACTATATTAATATGAAAGAAATAAAGAAAAAGAAAACACATATGTAAATGCATAAGTATGTATGTACACAAAAATACAAGACCCACAGACCCACACACAAAGAGAGAGACAGACACAAACACACAAACACAAACACACACATAGACACAGACACACACAGACAAACAGACACAGACACATACACACATACAGAGGAGGCGAGAAGTGCAGTGCATCAGTGCAGTACAGCTCTTACATGTTGTTAAATATGGAGAGGAATGATCAATGGGTGGTCTAGTCTGCTAGCCATGGATTATGTAAATGTGTATAGTTCATGTTGAAAGGAAAATTTGAGTTAGAAAGTGAAGGAATAAGTAAAAAAAACAGAAAAAAAACAGTGTGGCTTTGTGAGCCAGGATGTGAGAGAGAAGGTAAGGGTAAGCCTTTTACGCTAGTTTTTTGTTTGTTTAATGAGTAACAACTGAGGTCAGATGAGAAAAATAAAGTTAGCAAAGGCTGCAGTCAGATTTGAGGCTCTTGAAGCCAAGGTACACAACCTGGTAGCAGAATGCAGGTAAATACGTGAAGAAAATGTAAATCTGAAGGAACTGGTAGAAAATTTGTGCAGGAACACAATCATTCAGAGAGAGAATATGAAAAAGTCTGACATAAAGAGAAAAGTTAGAAATAGCAGAAACCAAGATTAGCAATGGTAGTGAAACCAAAGCAAAGAATCTGCAAGAAAAAGGAGGTAAGCAAAGTACAAGAAACTGTTATGCAGGTAAAAAGCAATTTGTCAAGCAGCCAAGTTCAAATAATGGAAAAGGCAAAAAGGATGACAGCTACATATGCTGATGTAACACAGGGAAAAGAAACAGTAAATGACATGGAAAAGAAGATAGAAAAAGACATCAAGATCACAAAGGAAGAAATTAAGACAGCTTGCAGATATTGTAAAGAAGAATGAATTCAAATCCCACCTGGGGGAACCAACATGCAAGGAATACTGCTAATTTGACAGATGTAAATAAGGACACCATCATATTGGGACATGAAGAAAAAGTTGTAGAAGATGGAATTGAACGATACAAGGACAAGAAATTGATTGTAAAATTCTCAAGTTCATAAATCCTGCATTTGTGGAACAGAATATCATAGCTCAATGCAGGCTGGGATTATTCAAAAAGGTGAAAGAAATGCCTAAACTTTAAAAGTAACATTCATGAATAAGCAAATGGTAATTGATATAACAAAAAAAAAGCCAAAGTCCTGGCTACCCATGAAGAATATAAGAAAATCTGGATAAGAGAAAATATGACAGAAAAAAACTACAGAAAAAAATTGGAAGTAAAGAACAAAAAATGAACAAAGGAATGAAGAGGAAAAAACTCTGAGGGTGAGAGGTCTCCAAGCAAAGCAAATATACTAGCGGATCCAGAATGTAGAGACAGACAATCATTAACCCTGCAGCCAAAAGGAATACCGAAAGATTATATAGAAATAGTGTATACAAATATTGATAGTTTATCTTCGAAGTTGCTAGAACTAGAGACAATAATTGAAATGAAAAAAACAGATGTAATATGTATTACTGAATCAAATTGGATCCCTCCACAGATGATGTAACATTATGACTCAAAGGCTATAATATTTGGAGAAAAGATAAGGCACATGGAAATGGAGGGGGATTAAGGAAGGGAATTATTACAAAGGAGTTAGAAATTAATCAAGACCCCATAGTGGAACTGAAGGTAACTGAGGCAGAAACAAATGAGGTAAACATAATATTAACCATAGTTTACTTGCCACCTCATAAGTGGTCACAAGAAGATTACCAAAAACTAATCTAAGAGATATTAAAGAGCCTGGAAGAAGCACTACAACTCTGGGAAACCAATGCAAAAAAAATGTAGAGAACATCAAAAATATCACACTCAAAAAGAATGAAATAAAAGATCTACTAAAAGGATTAGACAAAACATATTAGACTCAGGATTAGAGTCAAACATAAGCCCAGGCAGTTATCTGAATATGTTGGCAGACGACACAAAGATACAAAAAAGGATAACAGACAACGTCTAATGTCAATGCCTCCAAAGTGACATTGAGAACTTATTCACAAGGAGCTGTACATGGAAAATGGAATTCGAAACCAATAAATGCCAGGTAGTCAGGTTCAGTGAAAGTAGAAATTGCCCACTATTCCAATATAAATTAGGAAATGCAATATTAAACACAGCTGATAGGGAAAAAGATCATAAATAGAAACCCAAATGAGCTTATAAATGAAAAGGTTCGCAAAATGCTAGGACTGATTGCCAAATATCGCTTTACCATATCTTTGTGTATGTGGACGAAGATATGGTAAAGAAGATCATTATGGCAATCATAAGACCGAGTCTTGAGTATGGTGCAGTGGCAGGGAGTCCACACTTAAAAAAGGATATAGACAAACTGGAAGAGTTCAAAGAGTGACGAGATGGGCACCTACTCTAAGAGATATGAGTTACAAAGATAGACTACAGAAATTAGGACTTACTACTTGCAAGAAAGAAGGAAAAGGGGGGACATGAGGCATGGAACAATCTCCCCAAAAATGTAGTGTGTGTGAAAAATGTGCATCCATTTTAAAAATTGTACAATTTAAATATAGCAGATGGGGGTCCACCTGAGCTTAGCTCTTCTCCCATATTGAAACAACTAGGTAAAAGAGAGAGAGAGAGAGAGAGAGAGAGAGAGAGAGAGAGAGAGAGAGAGAGAGAGAGAGAGAGAGAGAGAGAGAGAGGAGAGAGAGGAGAGGAGAGGGGAGAGGGAGAGGGAGAGGGAGAGGGAGAGAGGAGAGAGAGAGAGAGAGAGAGAGAGAGAGAGAGAGAGAGAGAGAGAGAGAGAGGAGAGAGAGAGAGAGAGAGAGAGAGAGAGAGAGAGAGAGAGAGAGAAAACAACTAAAGAATGATATGATTACAATTCTTCTTGCTCTTTCTTACCAACAGAACCTGCCCCAGTGTAGGCAATGAGGCATCTCCCGCTCGACAGTTCCCACAGTTTCACCACGCTGTCCAGCCCAGACGACAGGATGTACTAGAAAGGAGGAGAAGGTATGGAAAATGTAATAAAAACACAACTGATAAAGAGTCATGCAAAGGATATTACCAACAAAAAGAATTTCCTCTATACTTTTGGTAATCTTGAAACAGACATGGAATAAAACCATGACGTCCTGAGGCAGTTTGCCATGAAACTTAAAATGGATAACAACAATAATAGACTAATTTTATTGAAAGTTATAAAAACAATTTTTCAGCTATGCTTATGAAAAATATTTAAATTTTGTTCATAAAAAAATGTTAAAGCAATCATAGCAACACCAAAATAGTCATCATGACATGTAGAAAAATTTAAGAATAAGAATGAATGTCTTCACAGTGCAAGAGATTTATTTAACAAGCTTCAATTATATCTTCATCAGAAATACATGGATTTCTGATGGGAGATATCATTGAGACCAGTCAAATACATCTCCTGGGCAGTGAAGATAATCATTCTCATTCATAACTTTTTCAACGTGCTAAGAGGTAATACACCCACCTTTCCATTACGGGAGAAGAGGACAGAGCAGACCTCCATCCCATCGTGACACTTTGAGAACGTCTGTACACAGCGACCAGACACTCCATCCCAAACCTGTAATGAGGGTTCTTCAGGAGTTAGCATATTGTTTATAGAATTCTTGGTCTGTTCACCTCTGATTCTTTCTGTTATGTTAAATTCTTTTCTCTTGGACTGAATGTCTTTTCTCTCCCTGTCTCTATACATAAGTCACTGACTAAATAAAGTGTCTGTGTCTTTGTATATCAATATACCTAACTGTCTGTGTTGGTCTGTCTCTTTTAGTACACTATTTATTTATATATCTACTGATCATTATATATCTTAATCAAATACATGTAAAAGACCCTCCCAACCAAGACCCACTTCTACCTTAACATGGCCATCCTTTGAAGCAGAGACGCAGACTCTTGCATCAGCCGAGTAACGCACACAAGTCAGGGGTCCAGTATGATGCTCGCGTGGGTAAGGACACACATAACACTGGCAGGAGTTGATGTCATAAAACCTCACCACAGGACCTTCTGTTGCTACTGCCAGGAAGTCTCCACTGGGATGGATTGACATGCTTGTTACTTGCTCAGCATCCTGTGTGTCAGCAATAAAAATAATAGGTTTAAAGAAAGAAAGAGGAGTTTTATTGTTCACTGAAAGCAAGATAAAGACTGAGAGAAAAGTCTAATGGAAAAAAAAATATATATATGATGGGATGTATACAAAAATTTTAGACCATTAACTGCATTTACACAGAAACAGCTCCACAAGTGTTCTCATTTGAGTACACTTTTCCTTTATTTCCAGAAAAATCTTTTAATATCATTTCAATGTTTTTATTGTTACTTGTATTCTATTAACATTAAAGTTGCCATAATGTCAATAACAATAATAACTGTATCAGTATTAATATAATTAGAAAAAACAAACAAAATACTTTCCCGCAACATCAAGGAATGAGGAAACCCATCATGGTGACTAGAACCTACTAAATGACTCCTTTGTGGCTGAGAACATGTGGAGCCATATGTGTTCAATGGAATTCACAAAAAACTACAATGGGTAACACCTAACCCTGTAGCCATTGGGTCAATTTTTCCAATATCCAACTCAAAATATATGTAAGCTCGTAGTGGTGATTCTTCTTTGATTAATCTAGATGTACACAAATACTCACACAAGAAAGAGAAAAAGCACTCAACTCTTTCTCTTCCATACACAGACTTACTTTTCTTCTTTCTTCTCTCTCTCTCTCTCTCTCTCTCTCTCTCTCTATCTCTTGATATCTATCAATCTATATCTCTCTCTCTATTTCTCTATTCATCTCTATCTTCTCTCTATTTCTCTATCTCTCTCTCTCTCTCTCTCTCTCTATTTCTCTCTCTCTCTCTATTTCTCTCTCTCTCTCTCTCTCTCTCTCTTCTCTCTCTCTCTCTCTATTTCTCTCTCTCTCTCTATTTCTCTCTCTCTCTCTATTTCTCTCTCTCTCTCTATTTCTCTCTCTCTCTCTATTTCTCTCTCTCTCTCTCTCTCTCTCTCTCTCTCTCTCTCTCTCTCTCTCTCTCTCTCTCTCTCTCTCTCTCTCTCTCTCTCTCTCTCTCTCTCTCTCTCAAATACACAGTTTTTTAGACCTTCCTCTCTCCTTTCCTCCCTCGCTTACTGTAAGTGTTTTGAAAGCCTTCTTAGCTGACGTCTTGCTGAAGTCAAACATCTTGACATTGGTGTCACGGCTGCCTGAGATGAGGATCTGTTCACGTGGGTGGAACTCCAGACAGGTGATCTCATCCAGGTGGTCATAGAGGGTACGGATGACTGGATGACCCACCACAGCGTCCGGGTGAAGCTCTACAGCGTCTGGGTCACTTTTAGCCAACATACGGTCTACATCTAGGATCTGCAGAAGAGAGGTACGCTTCTGAAGCATTTGTTCTATTTTTTCATTTTATTTTATTTTTTTAAGCAATATATATATATATATATATATATATATATATATATATATATATATATATATATATACACGCATATATACATATTTTTTCTTTTTCTTTTTCTTTTATTTCTACGTACTTGACTAAGAAAAATCAATCAATAAATAAAGAAACTGCTAAGTGATAAATTATCCTTTTAACTAAATTTAATTTTGGTTGTTCATTTTGTTGCTAACAGAAAAAATAAATAGCCTTATGAGATTTTATAAATGCAGTTTTTCTTCTACGCCAACTGTGTACACTAACAGAAACCAACCTCCCTTACATACCTTAATAGATGCATCAACGCTCCCTGTAGCCACGAGGTTCCCATCCAGCGAAAAGGCTGCAGCTCGGCACTTATCCTTGTGCGAGGTCACATAAGCTGTCTCATACATTGCGGGCTCTGGGGCTGACGTCTGTGGCTCTGTCTCATATTCGAGGTCCAAGCCAGGGCCTAACGTGTATTCCAGTCTGTTCAGGGGTCGCTCCATTTCTGTAAGTAATGTTCTCTGTACTGTAACAACTATTAACTAGTTACCTTTATAATACAAATTACTTTTACATCTTCTTCATTTCACCTTCCAACAGAAATTGCAAAGAAAACGATTGAGTTCATTGGTATGTAAATTAGAGAACTTTTAGCAGACAAATGTTTTGTAAACAAGTACTAGAAATGAGAGGGATTCTATCTCTACATCACATATCAGAATCATGGCATACTAAAAACTGATAGAATATAACACAGACTCTGATAAATAAAAAGTAGAAAAAATTGACATTGCATTCATTTTAAAAATTTGCATTTAGTTAGACTATATATTCAGTAACATTTCAAAATGTACATCTAGATCATGGTGGAAAATTTAAAAATACACAATAATGATTTTCCCTACTTTAAAAATTACAAAGAAAAATCTAGTTATCCACAAAAATTACAAGAAAGACTCATATGTAAAAAAGAAAAGATAATATAACCAATAACATATTATATTTCTTTGAAGGAAGGAAAAAAAAGGCAGATGAAAAATATAAACATTTAAAAGAAAAATGGGAAAAACAGGAAAAATTACAAACAAAAATTAGCAGTATGAAAAATAATAATTCAAAAGAAAACCAAAAGTAAACAGTATAAGGAACAGCCAAGGATGAAAGAAAAGGGGGAAAAAAAAAAAATAAAAAAAATAATAAAAATAAAAAGGGAGAGAGAAAGAGAGAGAGAGAGAGAGACCTGAATAAGAAACAGTCAGGC